TTCAGACACTTCAGGCCTGGTTTTTTACCACCTTAATGGACACTTTTGAAAATCTTAGCTGAAATGGCTTGCCCAAGGTCACACAGTGAGTGTTTTTCAGAGGCGGGACTGGAAACCGGGTCTCCCGATTCCCAGTCCTGTACTCTAGCTATTGGGTGTATCTAGTGGAAGCTGTCAACTGATACAATACACTGAGTTTGGTGGAGAGTTTTCATACATCTTTAACCTGTTAAAAGTCTTACTTGGGAATACAAATTCCTGAGACTTTGTATGCAGCCTCTCACTTCATGTACAGTTTATTAGCTGGTTTCTTGTTGCTGTGTGGACTAATGAGTGTCATTTTCTTTTAATAGTGCATACTAGTAATATACATACATATAATAGACATACTAGTTAAGACGTTCAGTTTTTGCAACTGGGTTATTACTGCTTAACAGCTGAGATGGTAAATTTTTGCAAAATCTAGACTAAGCTGTGGTGTTTCATGTGTCTGGGGGAAGGAGTGTGGATATAATACTGGCTAAGAGCATGCTACACCTGGGGGGAGATTAGTTTTTACTATTCGCACAGCTCTCCTGACAGCTTTTCTTGGGATCCTCCCACAGAACTGGGAATCAGTCTAAAGAGTCGATGCCAAAAGTAACAAGTAAAATGAAAAGAATCTAAGTGTCTGTCCAACCTGTGTAAATCTGCAATGGCTCAATGAAAAGGGAAGAGGCAATTAACTAACATCAAGATTGCAGAGCTGAATACATATCATTGTCTAAAATTTTGTTAAATGAAAAATGGGGTGGGGAGGGAAGAAGGGAGGGAGAATTTGAGTTAAATGAACTTATGAAGAGTCAGCTGGAATAGCGAGGATAACTAGAAACGAGAAAAGTATGGACTTTTCTGAAATACCTTAAGAGAGCAAAGGAGGGGAAAAATCAGCTTGAATTTGAACAGTCCATGTCTGTTTTACTTCATGTCCTCTGATTGATTAAAACTGTGCATGAGGATTTACACATTCAGGCACACAGAATTCCATAATAATGGCTTCCTTACTGAGGTAGGTCTCTTGGCATATCCATTATAGACCCTGTTTTTTGCCCCCATGAATTGGCCTGAGTATAGGAACAACCATAGAGGATCAGAGCAGTGGCCCTGTAAGGGATTGGGGCCTAGGCGGTCTTGCCTAGAGGTCCCAGCTGGGCTGAGGTCTGGCCCCCAGGGACAGGAGTCGCCAGACTGGAGTAGGAGGCATCACAAGGCCAGGTTCCGCAAGCGTCAGGTCAGAGTCAGGCTGGGGTCGGAGACCAGAGATAGTACCTGGTTAGAATCAAGAGACAGGAGGCAGGGTCAAAATCAGCAGCAGACCAAGGTCTGTGTGGTGGACCAGAAAACTTCCTGGGGTTAAATAGGGGCACTTGGCCAATTAGAGAGCGGGTACTGTCATTCTGCGTCTTGTGAGTAATACTTCCTGCAGCACCTACTCTCCACAATGCTCCCTGGCCATGCATCTGCATGACCACCTAGTAGCACAGTGGGAATATCAGCCCCCTCAGGCTCTGCAGGCCTGGGCTCTAGTTCCTGGGTCCTTTCTGGTCCAGTAGTTCTCAAACTTTAACACATCTAAAACAGAAGTACTTGGCACATTACCATTGTAATTAGTTTAGATCCTTGCGCTGATAAACTAACCCTTCCTAATACTTCACTGAGGCCCACATTCCACCCTTTGAGAAACACTAATATAGTCCAGTAGGATGCTGCAAAAACAAACCTGTTGGGGACCTTTTATTCCTAATCCCAAGCAGTAAGTGATAACAGCTGAAGCCTCCAAGATTGTACGAACTTTTATGAGCAGAAAAGATTTAATAATAAAGAAAAGTAACATGCAGTCAAACTGCCAATGCATGAAGGGAGAGAAATTAGCTTTTGTTTAGTTAAGGTCCTTTTATAACAATCATTGAGAAACGAGTGCTTACTTCTGCCCTATTTGATTTTGGCTTATTCTTCTGCATCCCTTCAACCTTTCCCATATACTGTTAAGTGAGCCTGTGCTTTGGTTTTTCCCGTGTATTAAACATTCTCCAAATCCAGTGCAAGAATTTGAGCTAGATACTGAATGCTTCCCAAGGCTTTTATCAAATCTATTCTTCGTGGTTTACAAATGAGGTACATGGGCACAGAAGTCCATAGAAGTTTAAGAGAACTGGTGGGTGAGGGAGCTACAATGATATAATTACTAGTTTTGGGTGAGAAGTAAACCTGAGTATGAGAGAAAAGCTTATACCCCAACGAAGCCGATAGATTTCTATGAAGAGAGGATAAAATCTTATTCGTGAGAAAAGGAGCAAAATTCAAGGTGCTGTAACATGGTGGCTTTAGTTACACAATGAGGAAATGGATATGAGCTTAGGAGCATCTAACTTGCATGGCAAGGAGCTGGGTAAAGGTATCCTTTATAGCAGGGATGGGCAAACTTTTTGGCCCGAGGGCCACATCGGGATGTGAAACTGTATGGAGGGCTGGGTAGGGAAGGCTGTGCCCTCCAAGCAGCCTGGCCTCCTGTAACGAGGCTGGTTCTGGCGGGACCCAACTGAGAGTGCCAATTCAGGACAAATTGCTTAAAGCAGGGCAGTTACTGCCCAAGGCGGGGTTTCTGTGCACACCAAGGCAAACCAAACCAGCCAAACGGAGAAGACTTTGGTTTTACCCCACTGGCTAACCACAAGTCACACAAGCAATTCCCTTAGACACTCCAGTTTCCCAGTATCACCACCAGTGCCCCTCGTTATGGGGACAAATGGTTAGGAAAACCAATACCCCAGTAAAACAAAAAAGGTTCTCCCCGATCCCAAAGGACCAAGCCCCAGACCCAGGTCAATATACAAATCAGATCTTACCCACAAATCATGCTGTTGCCAATCCTTTAGAATCTAAAATCTAAAGGTTTATTCATAAAAGGAAAAAGATATAGATGAGAGCTAGAATTGGTTAAATGGAATCAATTACATACAGTAATGGCAAAGTTCTTGGTTCAGGCTTGCAGCAATGATAGAATAAACTGCAGGCTCAAATCAAGTCTCTGGAGTACATCCACAGCTGGGATGGGTCATTCAGTCGTTTGTTCAAAGCTTCAGTTCAGCAAAGTTCCTCCAGAGATAAGAAGCAGGACTGAAGACAAGATGGAGGAGCTGCTGCAGCTTTTTATATTCTCTCGCCATGTGGTCTTTCTTTCTTTGTTCCAAAGACAAGCAGTCCAGCACATAGCCTGGAGAAACCTCAGAGTTCTGTCCCTAGGCAGGTTCCTACACACCTTACTGAGTCACAAGGTGTGTCTGCCTTCTCTCAATGGGTCACTTGTATATCTGTTGGTCCTCAATGGGTCATCAAGCAGGCTAGGCAGAGCTGACACCAACTTGTCTGGGGTGTCACCCAGAAGCATAGCATAAGTTTGGAATACAGACAGTATAGAGCCAATACTTATATCTTTAAATACAAAAATGATACATGCAAACAGATAGCATAATCCTAACCAGCAAACCATAACCTTGTCTTAGATACCTTATTTGACCCCCTTTATACAAGTTTTGGTGCCACTACAGGACCTTGGTTGCAACAATGTTCTATACGGTCCCAGTTCAAGTCAATAACATCACACCCCCGCCCCCTGACTGCCCCCCCCAGAACCCCTGACCCATCCAACCCCCCCCTGCTTCTTGTCCCCTGACTGCCCCCTTCTGGGACTCCCCTTCCCAAACCACCCCCTGGGATCCCACTCCCTATCCAACCCCTCCTGCTCCCTGTCCCCTGACTGCCCCAATCTATCCACACCCCTGCCCCCTGACAGGCCTCCCGGGACTCCCACACCCTATCCAACCCCCACTGTTCCCTGACCGCCCCAGAACCTCCGCCCAATCCAACCTCCCCCTGCTTCCTGTCCCTTGACTGCCCCCTGGAACCCCCTACCCAACTCCTGCACCACTGCACATGCGCACCGCCACCACCCCCTTACCATACCGCTCAGAGTGACAGGAGCTCGCCGCCCCGCGGCCCATGTGGCGGCATAACTGCGTGGGACGGGGAACAGTGGGGGAAGGGCCGGGGACTAGCCTCCAGGGCCAGGAGCTCCGGGGCTGGGCAAGACGGTCCTGCGGGCCATAGTTTGCCCACCTCTGCTCTATAGTATGGGGGAGAGGAGATATATTTCTGCCCTCAGTTACACCTCTACAATCCTGTTGAGATCAGTAGTGTTGCATGGATTAAACTGAAAGCAAAATTTGCAAAAGGGGCTCTTTTAGTTTACACCTTGACTGTCCTGTTAGTAGCTTTTCTTGTTACCCTTCTCTCGTGTGGCTCCTTGGTGTGTACATTCACCAATTTACCTTCCCTTAAACATCATTCCTGATTGTGGCTTAGGGGCTGGTTTGAGATTTGATTTCAAAGTTGTACAAGGGAGCTGTGAACTTCATTTGCAAAATGAGCTTGCCCCTTCGTATGTGAGCATTATATGAAAATGTGTTACTTAAAAATGTTTCCAAACTGGTGTGAAAAAATGACATATATGAGGTACAAGAGCATCATTAAAACAATGACCATTTATAGTACAAAATAAAAATAGATCCATATGTGCAAATCAGTTATATGAAATGTCAATTAAATCAACTCTAATCTCCCAAATACAGTTTTTATTGCTCCATTCATTAGAAAGGCTCTTAAGGTAATGAATAGTTGTCACTTTTATCAAGGACCGCTGGTTCCTTTATAAATGTGCACTAAAAACACAGAAAGTTGTTTTAAAATATTTGGCTCCATTTGCCCTCAGCATTGTCTCTGAAGCGACTGTAGGACGCAGTGTGGTCTGATATAGCAATTGTGAACATCAAATATATAAATAATAGTGTACGTTAAAAAAAAAAGACAAAGTAGAGCTATAATATAATTCAACTGCATAGATTTGAACTGTCATCTAATGCAAAAATCTGCTCCATATAACTTCTTTGTTTTCTTTCCTATAGCAAGTCCGCATGCAACACCATCGACTCTTCATTTTCCAACATCACCCATTATTCAGCAGCCTGGGCCATACTTCTCACACCCAGCAATCCGCTATCATCCTCAGGAGACTTTGAAAGAGTTTGTCCAACTTGTCTGCCCGGATGCTGGTCAGCAGGCTGGACAGGTGGGGTTCCTCAATGTAAGGAAGCCATTTTTATTTCTTCAGAAGTGTTTGTCCGATGTCACCTAACTATGGAATTATCTTAACAGTGTGTCACACATGTGAATGTAGCACCTCAAATAGCTGCTACAAGGGGGGAAAAAAGCACTAACTACAGGAAAACAAACGTACACTGTGGTGTAATTAATGTACTTTGATAGTCAGAAAGGGCTGGTGGTTCAATGACCTTCTGGGATCCCTGTACCGATGCTTCAGCTTCAGACATATGAACCCTAGTTCCACTGGGTTTAACAAAATACAAAGGCCAAATAATTTTTATTAATTATTCCTTTGGCGTTGGCGGGGGGAAGAGCAAGAAAAGGGAGGGTGAGAAACAGCTGTTTTAGATCAGCTAAGTTCATTTAAAAAAAAAATACTGTCATACAGCACTTTAGATCAAGTTGACCAGTACTTGAACCCAAGATGTTAAAAGTACAGTTTATTATAGTTTGTTATTTCTGTATGCGGTTATCTTTCCCCCTTATCTCTATGAAGAATTAAGCAGTGTTCCAATGCTTCAAATAAGCATTTTCATTTTTTAATCAACTAAAATGAATCATCCTCTTCACTTTATTGAAACAACATTCCAGTCAAATACAGAAATGAAACTTTATTTACATCGTGTCTACAATAATGCTGTGAACCTTTTATGAAATAAAATGCATGTAATTGTGTCCAATCAGCAGAATAATGATTGTCAAAATTGTTATTACTTTTCTTACATACATAATGTTGAAATTGTTAATGAACCTGCAGAATTAATGTAATTCTTAGCATTAATTTTATTTATTAAGCTATGTTGTCTTGAATACTTTTTTCTTACCAAAACACCTGATCGTGCATATCTCAGCCAATACGGGCTTTGAATAATGTCTGCAATATGTTAGCAGTTACATTTATGTCTAGACAACAAATCAATAGAGTGCTTTTCTTTTTCCTTGAGTATTCATTTGCTTAGTTTAGCTCAAACCATCTGCGTTATGAACTGTTAGCACATTCACAATGAACATACAGCAAAGGTCTTCTTGGTAGAAAATTGGCCTACTTGTAAGACAAGAAAGTATTTGAGAAGTGTTACTGAATATATTAGTTTATTAAAGGTGCTGTATGTTGAAAAACATCTCTGAAAAATTACTTTTGAGTAAGGCCTCAACCCCACAAACACGAGTAACTGTACTCCTGAAGGCAACAGTACTACTAATGCGGTTACATACATATACAAGCCTAATTCTGTTTACACTAGAGCCATTTTACATCACTGTCAGTGGAAATTTGAGTTGCACCCACGTACATTGCCACGGCCGTTAAAGTGGCTTTAGCGTAAATGAGAATCAGGCCTGTAAATGGTTGTAGGATTGGGCCCTTAGTCCTAAATAATTCCTGTTAGTGGAAACCTAAGCAGAGATTTAAGTACAATTTTTCCTCAGCAGTATTCAGAATATGTATCTGTGTTTAAAACTGAGCTTTTATCAATGGAAACGTGGCCATTCAGTGCCAGAAGAACTGCAGTTAGGATCAATTTGTGGAGTGCTGTCAAAACTGATCTTGTCATTTCTGTCACTAAAACAGAGTACCTGATTCACAGACTGTCCTACTTTTTTCTTTATAATGGTACTGCCATCAATTGGTATGGTTCTCAATAGTCTAGTTTTACATTAAGATTGAGATTTTCCATACCCAGTCCTTGTTTTTGTGATGCTGAAAGCTTATTTACTAATGGACAGGAGTTTTCCTAGTAATCACTTGAAATAGCATAGCTGAGTATGCAGAACCATCCTGCCTCTGATTATGTACATCCTGAACAAAATACCTGTACTTTTTTAATATTGAAAATAAAGCAGATATAAGCTCAATTGTTTCTAAGCAGATACCTAATGGCAGCTGAAATGGGAGCTGTGCTATTGGTAATTTTATGGGAATGTAGGACTGCAGGTTGCTTAAAAATACATTACCTTATTTTTCCCATGAAATAAGATATCTGCTTGACTTTTAAACCACCCCAAAATTATCTCTTTTCCTACTAATGAGCAGTTTCTTAAGAAATTTAAACTTAACGTCCCAGGCACAGATATCCTAAGGGAACAGTAGAGGAATGAATATAGAAAGTGCAATGGGAGACAAAATTCTGCCTAAACTTGTACTGTAGGTAACTTAGTGGTTACACAGTGCAAGATTATAATTTGGTTCGGGGTGATTCTGACCAGTTGCTAACTTTGGAGAAACAGTTCGGCCCACTAAATAGGGTGAATTTCTTGCTTAAAAATGAAAGATGGGTTTAAAGGTCTTTCACAGTTATTGCAAGATTTTGAGATGGGTTGCGGTACAAAGCCCAGTGAAGTAAATGGCGAACAGATAATGGCAATTTTTCATTCCGACCTGTTTTTACTTACCATTGAGAAATTAAGCATTCATTACACCAAATTTCAAACTGGCCTCTTCTGTTGCTGGAGGCTGCTAATAGCTAATTTTGTCTTCTGTTTTTGGCAGCCCAATGGCAGCAGCCAAGGCAAGGTGCACAATCCATTCCTTCCTACCCCAATGTTGCCACCGCCGCCGCCACCACCAATGGCTAGGCCTGTGCCTCTGCCCGTGCCAGACACAAAACCTCCAACCACATCGACAGAAGGAGGTGCCGCCTCTCCTACTTCACCAAGTAAGTACGGCTGCAACAAGGGAGAGAGAGTTCAGTAAGGTTCACGCTGTTTCATCTACCATGTGTCTTCTGTTCACCAACCAGGAGGAGCAGACTGTGCTTCCCAAGTTAATTTCACAGTTGTCAATTGCATAAGATAGACAAAAATCACAGCTTGTTATTTTAACTAAATACTGCTGGCACTGCACATAGTTACACACTGGAAAACTCATGGCCAGCAGCTAATGTATGGGGGTGGAGCTGGGACATTCAAGATGCTCTGTAGTTTCATGAAGAAGCTATGCTGCTGGCCTTCCACTTGTGTCCCGTGACCAACGCTAGACAGCACTACATTGAACTCAGGGGCAAACCCACACAGAGGGTCTTGCTTCTTGTACAGACCAGGCCAGACTCCCTGGAGCTCAATCCTTTTATAGTTTCTTTGGGAATAAGTCTTTCTAGATGAACCCAGACTCATTGCCCTTATGACCAGCTCTCTGGCAGGCCCTGCATTTGGAGCAGGTAGCTTGTGGTATTTCTTCTACTGAGGGGGAGAGCATTAATTTTCTCTTCACCACCCACACAGCCCTCATGTATTTTTTGTAGCCACAAGTCAAATATTCAAATTCCTACATGCACATTGGAGCCACCATTTTGGATTCATTCTGCTAGGAAGCAAATGTGCATGAGCTGGGTTTGAAGCTTTAAACATTTTGGGCATACAGGGAGTTAATTGCAAATGGTTTAATGAAACGATGCTCAAATTGTCACTGAAAAACAAAGCGGAAGTTTTCAGTACTTTAATGGCAGGGGGACTGGTTCCCCAATTAAATGAATCCAGAATGAAGTCCAAGAATAAGCCATTATTGGAATGATAAACACTTTTATTTCAAATGCCTCCTTGAGAGTTTACAATTTCAGAGATGGCCACTGAGGAAGCACATTAGATAGATTAGATGGAGAGTGCCCAAAAATCAATGCACTCTAAACAGCAAATCCTTGGGATGCTTTCAAATTATTTAAATGCTGCATGTGGCCACTGCTTGATGTCCAAGGAGGCATGTATTATTTAACAAATATAAAGCCCAAGTTCTTAAAGCTTCAGGCACAACTCAGGTGATTCACACCTCAGAGACCAGAGGCCAGTATTGTGGCTGTGACATGGTGGGTTCCATGGGGCATTGCACGGTCCTGATATTTCTTGTGTTTTCATGGCATCCTTTAACTGGACAGGATTGTTTGCGTTTCAGGCTTGCTTGGGAATTATAATTGTGACAGAAAGGTTGGGAGGGTGAGATTTAAAACACGGGATTTAAGCTAAGACAGGCCCGTAACTTAGAAGTGTCAAGAGATCATGGTTGCTAGTACTGCTCAGAAAATTTCTGTCAGAATGAAATTCCCCCCTCCCGCCCGTTTTCTAGCTATTTCTGACCAACACTTTTTATATCATGAACCTGTTTGTCTTAGCACTTTTGAAGTCAGGTATCAGTTAACTTAATGCTTTCTTGCTCTTCAATAAGATTCAGTAGTGGGCCACTAAAAGGTTAACATTTACTCACTGGTGAGTGGTATTTGAAATAACTCAGTATTTCCCTGTCTTTAGAGTTGGAAAATATGAAGTCAGTATACTAGACATGCCATCATTTATAATTATAGCTCATAAGTTACGGGCAATTTGTGCCATTTAAAAGAAAAAAAAATCTAAAACCATTTTAACAATTACCTTAATGTTTATTTTATGTGATCTTTGGAGTCTATAAACAATAAATGTGTATTTGGCCAGATTCTCTGCTGATGTAAATTGGCTTACCTACACTGAAATCAGTGGAGCTACACTGATTTACACTACCAGGAGATCTGGCCCATTGTGGCAAAGAGTGTTCAACCAAGAGCTGTCAAGATAATCCAGGTTTTCTCAAGAGCAGCTAGTTAATGGTATTTAAACAAAAGATTAGGAAAAATAATTACTGTTGGTAATTAGTCAATCTGATATCTAAACATCCACTTCTGTACATTTTCAAGCATGCACCTTCCGTTTGATAAGAGTCATGAATGTTAAATAGAAGAGTGAATTGAGTTTTAAAGATGTGTGTAATACAATTTTAAGTCCACATTTTATGGAAATATGGACTACAGGAATGATTTCCAAAGAAAAATATATCACATACATACCTGAGCCTGTTGAAGCATGTATAGCAAAATAAAGTGCCAGGACTTTTCCATTAGGGAACACCCATTTTTAACAGTCTCAGAAGAGTTCAAATGGCACTATTCTAATCCATAGGAACCCTCCCATTGTCATTGATTTCCACAGCATAGTAGCACAGAATAGGCCACTCTCCATATATTTGTCTTGCTGGACAATCTTGTCACATAATGTTCTGCAAATTTAGAACTGTCCTTCAAAATGGAGGACGGGTAGCCAGATTATAGCTACAAAGTTTTGCTGACATACATCCGAAAATGTCCATCATTACAACTCAGAGTCAGTAATTTCCTGGATCCTACCCTGTTCCTTGCTCCCATTATACTGTGGACTTTGTTGCTTATTGGGGTCCTTAACTAAGTGTAAAAACTGTCAAAGTGCACTGGTATCTGTATCCTTAGGCAGTATCTTGAGTTCAGAATACGTAACATACCATAGAAAGAAGTCCTTGCTGAGAAGTGTTTTGCTATTGTGGAGGAGGGGTTGTTTATTAGAGTACAAATAGCCAGTACAGAGTAACCAAAACTACATGAAAAGATGTTTTCCATGGTTACACAGTTCCAAGGCACCAGTGCTGGAAACATCCCTTTTATATGGCTGTCTGCCCTCCATGGCATTATAATGAGGGAAGTCATTTACTGAACGGAAGAGGAAGTTCTTATACAGGAGTGATATTAGCATTTGGCCAGACTCTCTTTTGCTGTGTGGAGAGGAATAAAGGCCCCAAGGAAATATGTGAAGGGGATTGGAATTTGTTTCATGCTGTTTCCCTCCTTTGATCTGGTAAAAAGTCCTCTGCAGAAGTGTGCATTTTGAGGCTCTAATAGACATTGGAATATAGCCCTCCAGGGGGGTGAAGAGGCCAGGAGAAGCTGCTCAATATGTCATGATCTCCTGGGAAGTAGAACTTAAGACCACAATACAATGTTATGGTGGTTAACAATCTCAGAGCAGCAGTAAAACTCTCCAACAGTGGGATTAACTTTCTGTGGAAAGCATGACCATATCACACTGCTTAAGGAAGGAAAACCCTATGGAGGTACACTGGGGTATTTACCTCTGTGCTGTGGTATGGGATGCACAGACTCGGGCTCAGAATTTCCAACTGTAAGTCTTACCACATTTGCAAGAGTAGTATCTCCATCAGTGAGGAGATGCAAGGGAGATGGGCGCTCATACGATTTCTGGAGGTAAGTTTTTCCTCCAAGCACAGGTTTTTCTGCAGAATAGTTTATCCTTAACATAACACACAGACCCTGAGTTAGCATCCAATCTCTCCCCCTTCTGGGGATTTGGTTTTATTGGTAACTCAAAACCAACACAACACAAACATCACCCTAAGCTGTTTTCCAAAGCCTTACTGTTCCTGGAATTGACCTGCTGTGGCCCAAAGAAACACCACCTCCATTAGGTACGAACTGGAGTTTATTAGGTTAGTAGAACCAACTGACTGAGCAATAATTCCCCAGGGGATTAGCACCTGAGCCCAGGGTGACTCAGCAGAAACCCTCATTCCCATGCAGTGTCTAAGATTTTTTCCATCTTGTTACCCCATTATTTTTAAAAAACACGACTTTTTAAATGAAAGTTATTTCCTAACGCGCCATAACTGTGCCCAGGGAGAAGAACCTTTTCGGTTCCATTTGTAGCACAAGAGACTTATTGCTTTTGTGCCTTTGTACAAAAAAGCTTTCACATTAATCAGCAATGGTAGCAGGAAGAGAAGAGTAATTTGTGGCTAAAGCACAGGACTGACAATCAGGAGGTTTGGGTTCTAGTTCTTACTCTGCCACGCATTTGCTGTGTGCCGCTTGAGCAAGCCTATTCAGCTCTCTGTGCTGTACCCTCCCAGTGATGACCACTGACCAACATTGCTGAATGTGTAAGTGTTGCAGTATGCATTAAGATCCTCCGATGGAGGGCGCTCCTGCAATGCAAAGCATTGTATGTGTGCATGTTCTTATATATGGCGTCATATCTGTCTCACCAGAAGGGTGCAATGTAGCACTAAATAGCTTATAAGATGGTGTAGCTATTCATATCAGACATATGTGCCTATTTTTCTTCCTGGTCTGTAAAGGAGAAACTTGACCGTGTATCAGACTACCACTGACTGGAATTCTGCTTTGCCAGCAGGCAGTCATCCTTGTTAATTCACAACCAAAAGATAGACTGCACACTCTTTCATGTGACAACACTTCTTTCAGCAAAGTATAGGTAAAAGGTTTCTGCAAAGTTGGGAAGTGCTGCCTTATAATACATCACACTCATAACATTGTTGGTTGTTTTCTCTTGTCTTTCATGCTATTTCTTGCCATTTTGGCTAAATATTGGAGGCTTGTGTGAGCAAATGTTCTTTCCCTGCCAGCGCTTTCGCTCTTGCTTGTTCCTAAAGTGAAGCATCATAGCAAATTTTTGGTATCGTGCTCATTTCCATGGCTACAGACTATGGTGTCACAAATTCCCCACAGCAGATTCCAGATGAAGCAAGGCCGGGCAAGGCAGGAAAATGTTCTTGTTCAAACACGAAGGGCCAGCGTTTCAGCTGGTGTAAACTTCCAGAGGAAGTTTGTAGATATCCATTAGCTCAGGATGTGGCCCAAATTGCCGAGAAGGGAGGAAAGGATGATCTTATGGTTAAAACACAGGACTGACCATCAGAAGACAAAGATTCTAGTCTTGTTACCTTTCTGTGCCTCAGGTTGCCCCTTCTGTAAAATAAAGTATGAAAATCCCACTGTAAAGGAAGCTATTTAAAACACATAATTTGATATAGCTTTAACTAACCAGTGGGATTTCCTAGTTCCTATCCTAAAAAGAGGAGAGTAAAAGTGCCAAATTATGGGACCTCCAGGAATATCTCAACCCAACCTCCTGTATCAAGCAGGAAGAACTCTACACTGTACTTGGATGGGAAATTTCTAAGGAAAAGCCAGAATATTGCAGGAAGTGGTTCAGGGATGCAGTAAGCTGGCACTTTTGTACCCGATATCTTTCCCTTTACCAAACTAGTGTTCCAGCATGGTAATAGGGATTGCTGCTGTTGAATATTCAGCTTTTTATATGAGACACAAAATGGAGCTTGACCACTTGTGGTCCTCAAAAGTCCTATGGCACTTCACACCAGAGTATGGATGTTAGCTTAGCTCCGGGGTCCTGGTGAAATTCCGTCTTAAGGAATTACTTTCTCACCACCTAGATGCTCCCTGTAGTTTCAGTATTCTTCGGCTGTAAACTTTTTTACAGTTGCTGTTTGCTCTTAAGGAGACACCAACTTGAAATCTAAGCACTTTCAGGAAGTGAGTTAAAAGCAGTTGCAGGTTCTACACCAAAGGAAGAAACATTCCACCCAAGAGGTGGTCAGCTGAAGTGACTCCTGCATACAGCGTATAGTTTATGAAGTGCCTTAGAATCCCTTGGCATGAAAGGTGTTTGAACTGACAAAAAATAATTAAAATAGGGAATTATATGGAAAGCACGATAAGGCTAACACTGCTAGCATATATACTATACTCTGAAATGTAATAAACATATATATGAGGTTGTCAGTACCTAAACAACATATAGTAACTTTTAGAACACTTTTGTAAGTCAAGTAATGTGAGAATTTGGAGCTTCACTGGCCATTTATATAAAGTGCACAATAGTTCCAAAAGCTTCATACCTACCCATTGATCTAAATTTTTAGCAAGTGCATTTATAACATTACAGAAGTTTACTTTATAGTTATCACAAAATCTTGTGATGGTCATTGCATCCCTGTGCCTTATTTGGAATGGAAATAATGCTACATAGTACTATGGCCTGCCATGCAATCCTGAAGCCAGGATTCACTCTAGTCATCACTGTAGTTTACTGAAGTGCCGAAGAAATGTTTTGTCTTGTGCTATATGCCCATCTCACTCTTAAATCTTTACCTTATGTTCATCAATGCCTGAAACCATGAGAATTACAATGCAGACACAAGTCTTTCTGCAGTGGAGCTCTGCCACAGTAAAACAATGTAGTGATATGCAATAGCTGAAAAATGGAAGGTAAATCTGGGTTTCTTCCCTTCACTCATGAACTTTGTTTCCCTGGAGGACCTGCTCCAAAGAATTAAATGGTCCATTTGCTCATTGTCCATCCATGCTGGAAGAAAGACAGGAGGCCATAGATGTAGTTTAATTAGGCTGCAACTTTATTCACTTAAAATGTCTGGGAGCACCTTGCAATAAATTGTACAGTGCAGGAAGCGGGGGCAGGGCGTGTCAGTTCTCCACTGTTCCAGATGTAGGAGCCCTAAACCCTGCTTCCTCAGCTCCCTTAAAGGGGGCTACGAAAATGCGGGAGGTCATCTCCCTGCTGTACAAGTTGTAGGAGTCCCAAAACCCGCTTACTCAGCTCCCTTAAGGGATGCTTTCCCTCAAATCCTTTTCCAGTCCACTATATCCAAAAACCATATCCTGTCCATATCAGGTACCTGTACTGGACATGTGCTCAGAGTGTTACTTAATTTGCCATTGTCTGTACGAAATTTTAGTTTGTACTGACTTTGCTAGTACTTTTTGTGTAGCCTGTTGTAAAACTAGGCAAAGAAGTAGATGTGTTGATGTACCCCCTGGAAGACCTCTGTGTACCCCCAGGGGTACACATACCTCTGGTTGAGAACTACTGGGTTAGATCCCCCTTGCAGTTAAATCACAAGGAGAGAGGCAGTGCAAGTTAAAGCAAAGATAATTTATAGATTTCTAAAGAAATTGCCTCATTCAGAAGAGCCTCAATAGCTGACACTACTGACAGGCACACGTTGTGAATTACTGGCTTTTTTTGAATTACCAAGTGAACACACATGAAAAAGTAAGGCGTATGCATCACAAATTCTATTTTGTTCATTTATTCCTGCATTTGTAGTTTAGTTGTAATTACTCAGAAATACTTGGTAACATGCCAGGAGTGAGTACCTTGTAAAAATAATCTTAAAAATACGGAAACTCACTACAGTGCACTAAGTTCCTGTTAGATCTTTGCTGCAAATTATGGAAAGGCAGCCATGTTTTGTGTGAATATTATCAACGCTTTTACAGTAGTTTTGGGCTGAGGAGAAACTCAACATAGCAACCATTCTGAAAAGTGCTTAGCACTTTAAAATTCCGTTGGAGTGGGAACTGAAAGTGTTCAATTTCTCACAGGATTGGGACCTAATCCATATTTAAGACATCCTCAAGCATGCGTTAGTCATGGCATCACTTTGATAACATATCCTCAAAGATCATTCTATTGACATCTGATCCTTGTAGCAAGACATGACTTTACAAGTAGGATGCTGTATATGGTAGTCTCCAAACCAAAGGTCTATCTTTCACCAAACACTTTGCTTTTATAAAAAGGGCAGTAGCGTTTCACCTTTCCTGATAACTCAGTATCTTTATTTATATTTAATTATCCTTATTTTTCCTCAATATGAGGTGTCACCTCAATACTTAGCTTCACTGGAATTTGGCACAGTATTTCCTTCTATTTATAGCCATTTTTACCACTTCATCGGGGAGTTAGATTGCCAATTAGATTGTTTCACATGTTATGGATTTTATTCAGCACAGTGCATGCCTTGGCCCTTAAACATATATAACTATTCAGGTACATATTTAGATCTGCATACACAGGAAACTGAGAAAAGAAGATGGTGTGTGCAGCTGTCAAAGCAGCAGAACACTTAGAGTACTGAACGTTTTTGGAATTGACCTGAGTTCTGGACAGTTGCAATGGAGAGATGTAGAGCAGCAATAAAATCATTAAAGTACTTCAGGTTTGGAAGTAATCTGGGTTCTTGGCTTGTGTTGCTCTTAATAGCTTTACATTTTGTGGGAGCCATTCCAATTTTTAAAGAGAGCTTCAGCCTTGAGACTGATTGCACTTACCACCCCAACCAAACTGCAACCCATAATTTTTTTACCAAGGGAATCTTAGTTTGTCAGACAGATCACATGAGTACTTTAGAGCATGTAGACTCCAGCAATGGGAAAATCAGGGCTTTAACTGTATACTGTGCTCTACTGGTATGAAATAAGGGCCTGATCCTGGTAACATACCCATGAGTAACTTCACTTAAATTAATAGCTTTATTGAGATCAATGTGAATTCCTCATATGACTGAAGATACCTGGGAACACATTTGCAGGATCAGGATCTATGATATATGTTGTACAGCCTTATACCGAGAGACCTGCCCCTCTCAAAGACAAAAGTGGTTCAGATGAACTGAGCACATCTTCTTCTGGATGCATTACATCATTTTATTTAAGTATGTTGAAAGGAATGCCTTTCCTTTAGTCCAGTTATGTACGTGCCTATATATTCACCATTAAAGCAAACCTTCTCAGTGTCTAAAATCAAACTCTTGCTCTAAAACGTTTGCACATTTCTGTGTTAAACATCTGCTTAGGTGGCTCTGAGATACTGTGTTTTGGTGTTGTTTGTGTGTGATCTAGTGCTGCTTCCTCAACGCACGTGTCCCTTCCCTTCACAGCCTACTCGACACCCAGCACCTCCCCCGCAAACCGATTCGTCAGTGTTGGACCTCGGGATCCAAGCTTTGTAAATATCCCTCAACAGACACAGGTGGGCAGCTTTCAACTTCTCTGTATGCAGTGCACCTTGTTATTCTTCTGTGTATTTTAATGTCTCCTTACAAAGTGAGCCGCATTTCCGCACCACTGTCAATTCACCCACATGGTCTCAGTAACAACGATGAAATGTCACTCACAATTTGTGTTTGTCTGTTGTGTTTTATTGGCTTATATGGTAATAATTCTTCCATAATTCCTCCAAACTCTCTTGCTTTCCAAGGCATTGGCTTCTAGTGTGCAATTTTTCCTCTAGGACCAAATTTTCAAATTTCTTCATTGCATCTGACATATTTGCAAGTGCATCTATTTGCACATGCAAAAGCCCAGATGAGCCAATCAGGTAATTATGGCCTTCAGCCCAATCCTGCACCACTGAAGTCATTTCAATAGGAACAGGATCCAATTCCTAATTTGCCATTTGCATGCAGGTTTTTGGGCATGCAGGTGATTTTTTTTTTGGTGGGGGGCCCAGGAGATGTGGAAACTGATGTGCTCATAACTACTATGAAGACCTAGTTAAGGGAGGGCCTTTGAAAATTTGGCTTCAGATGTCAAAATGCAAGTTAAACCAAAGAACCAACAGTTTAAAGCTCTAGCATCTTGTTTGCAGCCAACACCGTATTTCACTGCAGTGATGTTGGGGTGACTATTCAGAGATTTGCTATAGTTGAGTCAGAAGCTCAAGCAAATATTTCTTTAGAAGGATAGGGTTTAAATGCGCTTTTTCCAAGCTGTATCAAATCCTTAGTATTGATTAAGAAAATAGTTGTTGGCAGTTTTTTTAGTGGTTAATTTTAGCCAGATGTTGAAAAAAATTAAAGCAATGTTTAATATCACATTATCATGAAGCAATATAAAAACGAGAGGAACTAAAGTTCTAGGACAACTACAGCTTGTAGTTTGAAATGATTGCCTGATTACATTACAATGCTTTTAAAGGTCAACATCAAGAAGTTATTTTTAATATGTTTTGAACTGGCTGTGATGATTTTAAAAAGTAATAATTTAGCTAGGGTGAAGTTTTACTTTTTATCCCCTTCTGTACAATTTGAAACAGGTCTTAGATGTGAACAATAAGGATATAGATGCATGGATGTTACATGCTACATTTTCAGAACATGCATGAAGACAGAATCCACATTGTGATGTGATCAAAGCCTGCGCTATCAGCGTTATATGACTGTGTAACTTATTACTGAAAATTGTCCATTTATAGGGCTGTGACCAGATGCCTGTGAGCACAATATGTTTTCTTGCTATCTGTTCCTTTTGTATCGTTTGTTAGGGGCTTTAGTTTATAGCTGTGTCGACAGCACAGGTTCAACTACATTGAATCTCAAACCTTTCCTGCATTAAACAGGGTCACAGAAAGTACACTAGCAGCTGAGGGAGGAGGGGGTGTATGTGTTAACTCTTCAAGTTCTGATTTCTTTAGTTCATTAGTAAAGGGAAGCCTGTGTCCCAGTTTTCAAGTGTTGGGCCTCCCTTTTAGTGCCTCCTGTTTAATCGATATAGAAGGCAAGTTTTCATACGCCTCTCCATTTAAGTCATAGCATTTCTCCTGTGGTTTTGGAAAGGATCAGAACAAACAGAAATACATTGAAATAAGGAAATAGAAAAATTTTAAGGTGAGCTGTTAAAGTTTTCAAGCATTTGGCTTTTTTCTTCAGGGTCCAAGAAACTTGAAACTCTTTGGAGAACGCTCCAATAGCTTTTCTAAAAGACTGATTGGCAGATTGTTACATAGTGGAATATAACAAAATCTGAATCTGTAAGATATCAAACTTGTTTGCATTTTAAAACTAGGCTTTTTGCATTTGTTGACAGTGAATTTTGAACCCTGCAAGTTATGACTGAAGCCATTGGAAAGTGTTCTGGCCCTATTGTATGTGCTTATGTATAATACTGGATAGCAAATGACAATACCCCAGCATAACTCCAAATTAAGGCAAAACATGCTGCTCTAGATAAGGGGACTGCCAGTCTCTCTTACTACAGCTGCGTCCTTTGTGCTACTGTACTTCAGGGTACATCAGCATAACCATTATGACCCACTGTGATACTGGATTTATAATTTGCCATAAAAACCCACTGTGAATTGAAATTATTAATATAGCAGTTCTGAAGTAAACCATGTTTTAAATCAGAGAAGTGGGGTGAAAATACAGAGAAGTTAATGGTTAGGGACTTAGTTAACGCTCTTCTTGTCAAAACAAATCCCCTGTTATAATGAAATTTTTGCAGGACATTAGATCCGTCACTTAGGATATTTTCAAAATATAAAAATAAAAACAAATGAAACACTAATATATTGAAAGTGGTTGGTGTTGCTATTTCCCATCAGGAATTTTACAGTGCATTCAGTAGTCAGGTTAAGAACTGTATGGCCTGATGTTGAGAGATGCCAACACTCACAACTGCGAGAGTTCAGGGGGAGAGGTAAACACTCAGTACTTCTGAGTGTCAAGCTAGTAACTTCAATGTTACTTTTGCTGCAGCATAACTCTAGAAACTCCATTTTCTCCTAATTTAACTCTAATGGTTCATCTCCATTCTAGAGCTAGGCCCAAACCAAAAGCCTGGATTTGAACACTCCTAACTTTCATGGAAGTTCTGATCCAGACAGAAACTTTGAGAAATGACCAAATTTTAGAGACAACTTTCCAAAAGCACCATATTTTCTTCCCATGTTGCAGCTGTTTAACTGTGTCATAGACCACATACCCATAGTCATCAATCTCAAAGTTGCTACGAATTGAACATGTCCACAGAGATGTGCGGGTGCTGTTTAGCAGAACGTACATTTCACATCCCTGGATGTGCAAGGGGCTCATACAGCAGGGAAATTAAATGGTGGACAAACTAACAACAATGTTGTTGGCCTAGCACGGGAACTATTTTTCCTGTTCTTAAACAATAGAAAGTAGGAACAGGCCTTTTTTAGTGGCCGTTACGAAAATCAGCAATGGACATTTCTGTCAACACTCTGTTCTAATTAATTCCAAATGTCCTTAAATGTGAGTCATTAAGGAAGACATTTTAAATAGAAAAGTGAATATTTCATCATCATAGGTTGTTGTAGAATTACCTACTGCCCCAGGACAGATCTGGGGTAGAAGAACCAGACAAATAACTGGTTTAGTAAGTGTTCTTGTGGAAGCCCAGAGAAGACTAGAAGTTTCAAAAAGAGAGGTGTTTATAGCAGTTCAAACAATTTTGCAAATCTTGATACACTCCCTCCACCTATTCCTGTTCTGCACCAGCAGCTCACCACAGTATGGTCCCATTTGCAGGGCTATTTAAAACTGAATTACTATCTGGGCTATTAGAAGGATCACTTTAATTGGCCTGGGCCTTATTTGATGACAAAAAGGCACAGGTGTTGTAACCTTCGCTTGATAAATCATTTACTTTAGCTGCCTGACTTGTAAGCAATACAAGATCTTCAGCCTCGCTGCCTTTGCCATATGCAAATCAGAAATACAGTATGCCTGGGATATATCGTCTACTATTTCAAAAGCAAGCTCGTCCGGCTACCGCATGACTAAGTAACAGATACATTTCTTGTGTTGGCATAGTCTTGTAAAAAGAAAAGTGGCAGAGGAAATGGAAAATACCATCACATTAATCAGGGGCTAACCTTCTGGAAGCTACTACACTCCTATAAAACAAATACTGTCTCTCTCTCTTGCTGCAGAAAATAATGAAGCAAAGAGCATGCGGTCAGCATAATCAGTCTATCTAGTGACACCAAACCCAATCAAGCAGCTTGTTTTTTGGGACCAATATGTAGACTCAGGCACATTATTTTGTAACTAGTGCTTGTCAATCTGTAAGGCTGGCTGAAAAAAATATATGTTGTTTTCCATTCTGATGGGTTGGGAGCCATATAAATTCAGTTTCCTGCAGCTCCTTGCCCGCTAAACTTTGATTACCATGCAAAGTTTTTTCAGCCACCACAACAGACAGCTTATTAGAAGTTGCATTTCAGCTGGCAGAATCACTTCCTGATCCACACCACCTCTAGTCCATTTAACCTCTAGCTGAGCGTAGCAGTGCATGAACCTTGCAGGTTGAACACTGGTAAAAAGCCCTGGTACAGCAAACACAGTGATGTTCTTCACACAACAGGTAACTGGCTGGAGTTAGTCAAGGAGCTTTTGAGAAGACAGAATTTCAAATGCCCTGCTTCTTTGCTGGTTTATGGGAAGAGAATGCCACCAAATTTCCTCTTAAGAAAATACTTCAAAGAAAGACGCCAGTTAAATTTAAAATTACTGCCTGATATCTCCATACTCCATTTTACATTTGATTAAAGTTAGCTTCCAGATCTTTGTTAATATAGGAGCAGATACTGACTCAAGAGGAGACCACTTCGAGGATAGAATCAAGGTAAATCTGTTCCTCTGAGAGCACAATCTAATTCCCAAAGTAGAATCAGACTACAAACATTAACCAAGGTTCTGCTCTCACTTCTGCTGATATGAGTCTAGAGTAACTCCATTAGCTACGGTGAAGTTGCTCAGGATTTGAACTGGGGTAACTGAGAGCAAAATCTGGCCTATTGAATATGCATAATAGTCATGATAGCAAAAACCACACATTTTTACCCAAAGCATAGGGAAATAAAATCTATCTAAAGAAGAAAGTTGCACCCTTTTCTCAGCAATAAGATAGAAAAAACATAGCAAAAGTACTTACTAAAAAGAGAGAGAAAACAGTCACTTACAAAATGGTAACTTTAGGGCTAGATGTGCTTGGTTTTGCCAGATTTAAAGGGCTATAAAGGCATGCTGGGAAGAAAATTCTATAAGAGGGCTACACTTCCCTAAAGATAATTAAGGGTGGGGTCTCCCCCAGGGAAGGGGTTGTATGTATTGTGCTATATTACTAGGGCAAATAGCCTTTTTAGGTCTTCTATTATCCTCCGTTTCTTCTATGCTAGTGAATACCTTTGTATTCTTTGTTTTAAGAAAACTTTATTTTATCTTT